GTGTTATGCAAATACCAATGGCAGATTTGTCCTTTCATGTAACTAGCATAACCTATAAATAATAAATAGAAGTGGCGGCGGCAGAACATTCTGATTCTGTCTTTCCTTTCAATTCTTGTGTTCTACTGCTCTCTCTCTACTCTTTCTCCTCTCTCCTCTATACCTTTTTTCTCCTTTTTCGAACCTGAAATCTATTAGGGTTCAAGACTGATAACAGTCTTGAACATCTACTTATTATATTCTTGGCTCATAAGAAACATACTGGTTCCATACTGATTACAGTGATGAGTGGTAGGATTTAATTAAGGTGAGATCATTTTCTTTTTCCAAACAAGAATTTTATTATATAAACTTTGATGCAGACTAGCAATCTTTTAGCTTTATTTCCTTATGGCTATCTTCCCTTGGTGACTAGGACTGTTGTTCCCATGCTAATGATGCAGCAAGGTCAGCCTAGCTTTCTGTTATTTGTCAAATGAGGGTTCAAAGTATTAGGTTTAAGGTTGGAGTGGGGACTGCTTGGCCCTGGTTGATGACCTAAAAGCTAGGCTGAACTATTGTCCTGAACCTTCTCCAATTGCAATAACACGGCCTATGTTTGAGGATCATACCAACACATGCTTGAGTTATAATGTGCCACGGTTCTAATCCTGGATAGTTTTGGTTTAGCCTGAAATGGCCTAAAATTCATGTTGAATATCTTAATAATAGTAAATTGAAACTGAAGTCAACAGTCACTACAATGTGCAGTTAATGCATGTTTGGGTGGTAACTTATGGTTAGCACTCTACTGCACCCATGTTCTGCTGTGGAGTTAAAACAAAAAATAGCAGGACATTTTAAACAAGTCATTGACTGGATGTTTTTTTGAATACCAAGTCCTATGAAAGTTGTTGAAGTTTGACCTGCCATAGAATTCTGTCTTGTTCGTTGACTGTAGAGTAAAGTAGACAGCAAGAAGTAGGAGAGGAAAGAAGAAAAGAGAGAAGAGAGAAAAGAGAGAAAGGCTGGTTCGAATTAGGGAAAAAAGTTAATCCCTTGATTCGGCCAGACCTATTATTATATTATTGACTTATTGAAAAAGAGTTGAGTGCCCTTCTTTAAGTAAGAGGCACTCGAACTAACATAACAGTACACATCAGCATTCTCAACAAGTACAAAGACTGAAATACCCCTTCACTAACACCACTAACAAAAGTAATATATGCAGATGCACTAGTGGGTGTCCAGGTGTTTGCATATGCCTGTTGGCCATGCTACTCTTGAGCTTAAACTGATGTTTTGCATTAATGCATTAAAAGGCTTTTGTTCATTTTAAATGTTATATTGTATCTTTGTATTCTGTACTCAGACTCCTAATCATTTGCTGATGTTTTCATTGTATACCCTTTGTTGGCAGGCAGTGAAGGGCATACACTAGAGGAAGCTAAGTCTATAAATCTCTCACTGAGTGCATTAGGTAAGTGCATAAATGCTCTCGCAGAGAATAGTGCTCATGTGCCAGTGCGTGATTCAAAGCTTACGAGATTGCTTCGAGATTCATTTGGAGGTGAGACATTTTCTGTATGCGGGGAAATTTGAATTTCTGCTGATATTAATTCAACGGGGTGTAAGCCAGAGCAGCATGGTGTATTACCCTGATTTTTTAGCTCCACACATTTCTCTGGTTCAGTGATCCTCTGCTTCTGGCATATTTTTTTCTTTCTTTTGTTATGAGCAGTTCTTGCTTAACTCTGACCTTCCCTTGCCTAGCTGTCAAACTTATTTTATTAATAGGCCACTTCAGAGAAAATATTTCAGAGTCAAGGTTATTTTTAAGTTTGGTGATCTATATTTATTTCCTGACATTACATGTTTAAATGTTAACAGGCACTGCACGAACTTCATTGGTTGTGACAATTGGTCCATCTCCACGCCATCGAGGAGAGACTGCAAGTACCATAATGTTTGGGCAAAGGGTGGGTTTAGCAATTACTTTGCAGTGTTATGTTTTCTTTGTAATTGCTTATTCTTCGATTCTTCCAATTGTGAAGTTGTAACAATTTAACTTAAGGATATCAATATCACAGTATACAGTATATGGGTTGCAAAGTAATAAAAGTCATCTTTTTATCCAGCAACAAATTTCATACCTGAGTAAATGATGCTAACTGGATTTGGAACCTATCTCAAGCACTTTGGTGTCATTTTTTTGTTATATATCAAACTTTTTGTTTCCTGCTCAAAAATATTGCTGAGTAAAATAACCTAATTCTGTTTGTTAACTTATAAATATCACAGTACATGGATTGTAAACAAAGGTAAGTGATATTTTCTGTTCAAGAAAGTTCTGTTTTGTCATTTGTATGCATTTAATTTTTTGAAAGAATATGCATACTTCCTTAAGCGCTTTAATGTCATAGCTCACTGTTATACCTAGGGATGATCATTATGACCCAGCCAGCCTGCCTGGCTGGTGAATTTCTTGGCCCAAGCAGCTATTTTTCTTCCAGGCCCATCCCAGCTTGGATCCACACCAAGCTCACAAATAATGTGGGCCAGGACCAGGCCAATCAAACCCTAGGCCTGGATGGCCCAGCCTGGCCTGAAAGTTACATATATAGATATATTATAATGAGGGTGGGCCTTGGTGCAATGGTTGGGTTGCTGCATTGCGATCTGAGTGACCAAGTTCAAATCTTGGAAACAGCCTCTTTGTATGTGCAGGGGTAAGGCTGTGTACATCTGTCCCTCCCCAGACCCTGCATTGGCAGGAGCCTTGTGCACTGGGCTGCCCTATAATATGGCAAATGTTTTATATGGGAAAATTTATGATGCCAGAAAGACACGGTACTGAAGAGCTTTGATCAATCAAAACCCACCCATGAATTTTGATAAATACTACTTGATTGGTTAACACATTTGTGATACCAGTTGATAGGTCACAAGTTTTTTCGGATATCATGTCTTTCTGGTATCATAGTCAAACCCATTTTATATATGGTATAATATATTAATATATAGATAATAAATTTTTATATATTTTTCTGCAATTTTAATTTTAAAATTAAATTAAAATGTTTAAAACCATAGTTTTTATTAATTAATATGGACAAGCCTGGATGCCTGGCCCTGCCTGTCCCAGACATATATTATCAGGCCCAGTATTACGATCCATTTGTCCCATGTTGGTAATATGGGATGCTAATGTGAGGTATCCCACATCGGTAGTGTGGGATGCTGTTGCGGGGTATATATGTGCTTGGGTTCCCTCCCTCTAACAGCTAGGTTTTAGGGGCGAGTTCTCCTAAGGCACATAACAAATGGTATCAGAGCCTACACTATGCCTCCCAGTTGCAATCATGCGGCGCAGGTGGTGACGTCGGTATTGCAGTGTTCGTCCGGGACTAGGTGGACTAGTGTAAAGCCAGCCTGTGTGGGCACCAGGACTGTGGAGCGTGGTGGAATGTTACGATCCATTTGTCCCATGTTGGTAGTATGGGATGCTGTTGTGGGGTATATATGTGCTTGGGTTCCCTCCCTCTAACAGCTAGCTTTTAGGGGTGAGTTCTCCTAAGGCACATCACACCCAGGCAACTCTAAATACTGTTAATACACTGTCAAAATCCAGCCTTGCCCAGCCCATGGTCATCCCTAGTTATACCTGGGTACCTGTACATACATAGTATAACAGCACTGGGTACACTATACACCTGGTATGGCACTGGATAATCTGTGGAGACTCTACAGCATGCTTTATTGCATTATCACGTTTGAAATATGTAAAATATTATGCTTTTACAAATTATATCATAAAAATTCTGTAAATGTTGGAAGTTTAGTTTGATTTGGAAAGATTTAGGTACTAACAAATGACACTTGGCTTCAAACATTGTCCCAACTGTATGGGGTGAGCATTCGGTTTATTCGGTTAAAAGCTGAACCTAATTAGGCTAAAACCGGAATAAATGAACTGAAATTTTTGGTTCAGTTTGTTGGTTATTTTGTACCAAATTTCATTACACCCACACACGTGCACACACACACACACACACACACACATATATATATGCATGCATGCATGCGTGTATGTTATATTATATTATCCCAGAAAGTTTGATTAATCTGGTTTTAAAGGTGAACTGAATTTTCAAATCTGAAAACTGAAACCAATAAACAAAATATACTAAAACTGAATTAACCGAACTGAAAAAAAAAATGAAGCTGGAAATTTCAGGTCGGTTTTATCCAAATAATGTTCTCCCCTATCAGCCAAATGCCCTTTTGGGTCTGCTCCTAGCTCTTCTAGCCCCTTCAACTTGTAAATTGTAATAGATCACTTCTTATGGGTGTTGTAGACGGTCTTCTCTGCATGTGACCAAACCATCCTAGTCTACCTTCCCTCATTTGATCACCTATTGGAGCTATTCTAGGCTCCTTTGACTTTCCAACACTCTGCTCCATACTCATTGCCAGCCTTGCAACATGTTATTTCTGTGTTGTTAATAAACGTAAAAGCATGATACAAACATATTAAGTTGGAATTGCCATGCTGGTATCAATGCCTGGGATCTTAGGAAATGGAGTCGTATGCCATTTCCTGTATCTTTATTTATTTTTGACAATTATTTCCTGTATCTTTATCCCTTAGTTGGTTCCACAATTGGGCATTATAGATGGCTCACTACCTAGCATTATGGGACTATTCATTCCAAAATGCTTGCGTTTACCATGCAAAAAGTTTCATGTTTCACTGACCTTATTCAAGAGTGATTCTAGTAGTTTGGTTCTTAAATCCTAATATTATACTAAATTTTTGACCATCAGAAACTCAAAAATGCCTTGCCCAAGCTACTGGGATTCTGTTGCATGAACCTTGTTTTGCCATGGTACTCCATCCATTGTTATATGCTATGTTAGATTGTTTGCCCTTGGATCTTCCCAGGCTTCTTTAAGTTACATGCTTTTTAACCTCCCGTGGTCATTTAAAACTCTCAACTTGTAACAGTTAACTCTTTCTTATTGGTGCAGTGGGTGGTCTTCTGTGAACATGACTAGATCCTCATAGCCTACTTAATCTCATACAATACAGTAACTGTATTGTGTTCTGAATTTTGTAGTTCACATTTATTTTCTACCCTTACATTGGCATCTCTTTCTGGTTAGCATTGTATTTTGGTTAATAATATTTATTATATATATGGATGTACATCCATCTAGTATAGGACTATTTTAATGGTTTCCCTTAGCAACTTTATTCATTTTTTTTCTTTTTCTGTGACTATAGAGTTCCTGATATCAAATATTTAATGAAACAGGCTATGAAGGTGGAGAATATGGTGAAAATAAAGGAAGAATTTGATTATAAAGGGTTGGCTAGAAGGCTTGACATACAATTAGACAAGCTCATTTCTGAACATGAAAGGCAACAGAAAGCTTTTGAGGATGAAATTGAGAGAATAACTATAGATGCACAACATCGTATCTCAGAGGCAGAAAAAAGCTATGCAGATGCTCTGGAGGTAGATTCTTTTTTTTTTCTCTATATTTTGTCTATAAGATTAGTTTCATTGGTATATGGGAGCTAATGTACTATTGACCCATAAATATGTCAAGTGCCTATGCATTAATTCTTGTTAGAGCTCATACCGCAATTTATGATTGAAGCTGTTTGTGCCGAAGGGGATATTGCATAAAATATACTTGTAAGTAGGATATGATCTCCTTTCCTACATGACCTCCAGTGTATATAAACTATGTTGGTTATTATCCTTATTTTTCTTTTTTTGGTAAATGGTAAGTTAGTTTTTATTAACTAGTCTTGTTGTGGTGAAGGAAAAAACCAATAGAAAAGAGAAGAGAGGGGAGAGGAGAAGAGAAGAAAGAGGAGAGAAAAGATTGAAAGAGAAACAGAAGATTAAACTGGCGGCACCAACTATATTATTTATATGTAGGGTGACAATTACAAAAAGAACAAAAGACTAAAGTGCCCCTATGGCACATAAACCAAGAATTACATCACTCCCCCTCAAGTTGGGGTGTAGATATCTATCGATCCTAAACATGTTACAAAGTTCATTATGTCACAAATGATGAAGACCCTATGTAACATCTGCAAGTTGGTCTTTGGAGCTGACATTAGGGAGTGCACACCTCCCCCTTCTTTCTCCCTGATGAAGTGTGTCCACTTTAATGTGCTTTGTCCTGTCGTGGAGGATGGGATTGGCTGCAATATTGATGGCATCTTTGTTGTTGAAATAGAGTGACATGGGACCATCAACTGTAAATCCCAATTCACCTAACAGATTCTTAATCCATAGAACTGCTGCAAATCCATGGAACATGGCTTTTTGTATTCTGCCTCCACACTAGACTTGGCCACAACACTTTGTTTCTTACTTCACCAAGTAATAATGTTTCCTCCTACAAAGGTACAATAACCATTAGTGGATTTTTTGTCCTCTACTGAACCGGCCCAATCAGCATCAATATAGACTTCGACTTTCATATGCCCATGCTTCTTAAAGAGGAGACCCATTTTTTGGAATTGCTTTGGATATCTGAGCACTCTCTCTGCTGCCTCTAGGTGAGTGGCCTTAGGTGCATGCATGAATTGACAGAGAACACCCACAACATAAACGATGTCAGGCCAAGTCATATACAAGTATAGAAGTCTCTCACCGCAAGTCTCTGGCACTGTATCCTTTAAGAGATCTAGGATAGTGCATTTGGGCATACTTTGTAATTGATGTTCATTCATCTTGTTTTTTGTTAACTTTATCTAATTCTTTTTGTGATTTAATAATTATTAAAGAAATTGTTTAAATTATTAAAATAATGTATACTTAGACTATGTGTAATTGGAAAGTCATTTCATTATAGTACATTCACTTGTTCTATAACATGCATTACTGTAATTATTTTGGCTATGAATACATTGGACTTCTCACACAAGGGTATGGATGAATTTCAAACCACCTAAACACTCCATGTGGCATATAGTGTCAGTGATCATTATGAAAAAGTAATTCTATTTAGTTTATTGTGTTTGAGTGCATGCACATATGGCCCTTAGCGTAAATGTGTAATATGATTTTGCATGGTATGTATCAAATGTTTCCAAGTGCTTATAAAGTCTGTTAACATTCGCTCACTTACATAGTGGATTTTGTATTTTTTTGGGGATTTAGTGTTTAATCATACTTATTTTAACACTCTCTGGCATTTCATTGCTACATTCAGTGCTTTTCTTAGTCTTCTGCCCAATGTTTCCATGACTTCCCTGGATCTTTCCGAACCTCTTAGAAAAATTTTGGAATTTCTCCATTTCCTGATGAAATTTCCTTTGAAATCAAAATTTTTATAATGATCCATTCTAAAATATTCTATTGGGTCAGAAATCGATGTTGGATTTGTTATGGTTTCACAATGAATCTTTTATTGGGTTTTATTGTTAGAAATTTCTTAATTTGGTGTTGGTGGATTTTGTTTCCAGATGCTCTTATAGTGCTTGATTTAATGTCTCAGCTGCTAATGCTGCAATTTTTTGGTTCATTTTTTTTGGCTGTAGAAGGAGAGATTGAAATACCAGAGGGACTACATGGAATCAATAAAGAATCTTGAGGAACAATGGGCCATTGATCAGAAAAAGCACTGTAATGATCGAATTGGATCTGGACCCAAAGACGGGTGCTTGGATAAGACATGCAATAGAGAGGTTCAAACTCCATCTCTATATTATTTTCTCCTGTTTGAAATATCTTTCTTTTTTTTTCCTTATGTATTATGAATCTGAAATAACTATTCTTTCACTCATGCCATTTTGGCATGTGGAAAAAATAAACTTTTTAATGGACTTTATCCCTGCTTCTACCCAAATTTGTCTCTTTTTTTTTTTTCTTTATGTGGCTTGTTGGGATTCTGGTTGCCCATGCTGCCAGTCAAAACGATGAGCCAGAGCAAGAGGTGGAGCAGGAAGAGGAGCAAGATCCTGAATTGGCACAAGTTCCTTGCGCTTAGGAAGATGAGTAGCTTCAGATTGAAGAACCTGTGGCATTTGAAAATGCTAAACACCAGCAGGATCTGTGAAAGGAACTTATTTATTACTTCAAACTACATGGCTCAACTTACACAGCTGGTTCATAAGCAGTATGAGATAGGGATACATCAGGGGTTCTCTTTGAAAATGCTGCATAATGACAAGTCACAATTTCTTTTTCCTTTTTGGTATCAATTGCAAAGAGAACTTGTTTGGAAGAAGGTGAAGAAAAAGATTAGTTGGGACATATAGGACTAAATTTTTCTTTGGTTGCAACTTTTTGATTGTTGATTTTATAGAGTAGATCCATGATGGATGTTTAATTCTTTATGATGCTTCGCTCACATGATGAAGCTTTTTTTTTTCCTTTTTATTTCTGTTGATTGATTCCAAAATTAACATTTTATTAGAAGGGATAAACTGACTTTTGGTTGGTACTTTTTATGAAATACTCTGGTACCATATTAAAGGGGATTGATTAAAGCAAAAGGAAGAAAATAAGATTATGGAGAAGAATGAGAGGAGAAAGATTATTGTGTAAAAAGATACAAAGGTTCAGTAATGTGTCTCCCAATCTTGTTAAAAAGTAAAAAATATACAAGTGAAAATACATCTTTTTTTTTGGATAAATAACAGAGATTTCACTACAAGTGAAAATACATCTTTTAATTATTAAACAATGTCATTTATTTTTATGATCTCTGATATAATAATTTCGGCCAGGTAGGCTTCAGGTCATTTCTTATGTTATAGTAAACATTGTAATAAAAGGTAAAAAGACATATTTATTATTAATCAAGACAGTTTATGGTATGATCTTGATATAATAATTTTGGCCAGGTTGTCTTCAGATCATTCATCACTGAATATTAATCTGTTGAATAATTTTTTTAAATGATAATTTTCTTGATTCATTCCCTTTCTGGTGCCTAGGGGTCTTCGGCATCTATTTCTGAGGAAGTTGCTGAGGTGAAGAAGGCCCTTGAGAATGAAATTTGTTTAAGGAAGGCTGCTGAGGAGGAGGTCAACAATCTTAAAAGTCAATTAGTACAATGGAAAAGGTCAGAGGTATGGTATATCCATCAGGTTACTAAGTATCTTTTTTACCATCATCTTATGGTTCTCTTAGGCAATTCCTTCTTGCTTGCTTGGTGGCATGTAAAGCAATTTTTTTTGGTTGTGCCAGGCTGCTGGAAATGCAGAGATCATAAAGCTTCGTAAGATGCTAGAAGATGAGGCACATCAAAAAGTAAAACTTGAAGAAGAAATCACGATTCTAAGAAGCCAATTGTTGCAATTGAGTTTTGAAGCTGAAGAGGTCTGTGTATGTGCTTAAGTTCTTATTAGCTTTAGTTTTACAGAAGTGGTCGTCAGTGTTTTGGAAGGTGTGCTTAGGCACATAGGAGAGGTGCATTTTAACACTGCACCTCACTTCAACCAGGCACAACTCCTTTCGAAAGGTGCATACCTAGGTTGCCTTGCATTTCAGCCCAAACATTCTCCTTTTATATATTTTCTTTTTTTTTTTTTTATCAGTAACTGAAAACTTTTATTAAATAAGAGAAATTAGCCCAAAATAAAGAATCCCTATTCGCCCCTTGTTTGGCTAGACCACCAGCAAGTGAGTTGGCACTCCTTTTCACCCAGCTGAGCTTCACCTCAATACCCCTAGTAAGCCATTTGAATTTCTTCCTTTCATTGCTAAACCTCCGCATGCAGCTGTTGTCTTCCTTTATCCATCTAATCACCACCTCTGAATCACCTTCAAGGATCAACCTCCTGATGTTCAGGTCCCTAGCTTTTTGGATACCTTCCAGAGCCACAAAGATCTCAGCTCTAAGTGAGTCTCCTTCTCCAATAAGGCTTGAAAACAAAGCTAAAATAATCCCCTCCTCATGCCTAAACACACCCCCAATTCTAGAAGGCCCTGGATTCCCCACACTACAGCCATCAATATTCAGTTTTATGAATCCATAAGGTGGGGACGTCCAAGAGGGGCTAGAAGACCTCTTAAATTGGGCAGTGTTAGCTATCTCTTTCTAGTTTCTCATCAAGTCAGCTAGTGAGACTAGGGGTGCTCATAGTTCGGTTAACCGAACCGTGGGCCTTTTTTTGTAATTGAACTAGTACTATCGGTTTTTGGAAAACTGGTAACCGAAACCAAACCGAAGCCAATCGGTTAACCAGTTGACCGGTTCGATTAACCATCGGTTTTTTGGTTTTTTAATTTTTTACAATATATACTATAAAAATATATATAAATATATATTTATATATAATGCATATTTATTAATTTATAATATATAAAAAATAATATATATAAAACATATAATATACATAAATATATAAAATATATAGAAATATATGTATACCGGTCAGTTCGGTTTTTCAGTTTTTTTGCCTACTCCTAAGTGAGACATCTGTGAATAGGTCCACAGATTTCAGCCGGTGAACCATCCTTAACAGAATCAGTTCTATTAAACTCTTATAGGTTCTTTCCTTGTCAGAAAAGATACGTGAGTTCCTTTCTTCCCACAAAGACCAACAAACTGCTGCCCTAATGCATCTCCACACCATTCTCCCTCTTTTCTTAGGCCAACTGAAGGAGGGTGAAAACAAGCTTTGCACATCCACAAGGGGAACCCAACAAAAAGGGAAAAAACCCACCCCCAAATAGTCTTAGCAAAGCGGAAAGAAACCAAAAGGTGGTAGCCCATTTCCCCATCAGCTTTGCAAAGGGAACACCTATTAGGGGATAAACAAAGATTGGGTCTCTTTCTTTGAAGCAGATATTGTGTTGATCATTTCTAGGAAAGTTTCCCAACAAAAACTACCAACCCGAGGAGGAATGGACTTGCTCCAAATCTCAATAACAGGGAAGGGCAACCCAAGAGGAGCAAAAGGCTGAGATAAGGTATCAAAAAACGAGGCACAAGAGAAGGTGTCTGTAGAGAAGATGGGCCGAATGGCCCATAGGCTGTTTATCCTTTTTTATCTTTTATGTTCTTTGCTGTAATGGGCCTTAATCTGGGTTTTATTCTTTCTTATGTTATGTCTTTTTACTTTTCTGCCCAACTAGGGGCTTCTCTATAAATTACTAAAGTTTAACTTAATGAAATAGAATTAAGGGAGTAAGAGAAGAGATTATGTTCGAAAATCTCTCTCTGAACCCAAGTTGCCGCCACCTTCTTCTTCTTCTTCTCTCCTCTTGAACTCTGATTTCTGCTACTTTCTTTTGAATTTTTGCAACTTTCTAAACAGTCATTTCTTCTCAAAAGGCTGTTTTTCTTCTTTGTATCAAAGCAGGCTCGTTTTTTCCCTTTTTTTCACTTTTTTTTTTCCATACACAATGTGTATGGAGAACTGAATCGTATGAATAGTTAAAGAAACCTATATCAGCCCAGTTGTTAGTGGTTTCTAGAGAGAAGGGGACTGATTTTGTTGTCCTCTTGACAGATTCAAGTGTGTTGCCCAAAACCCTAATTTTCTGGAGAAATCTTATTGCAGGCCCCATAGAGAGTTTGACCTGGGCACTCAGTGACTGAAGGCCTACTCATTCTTCTTGAAGATCGAATCAAGTGGATTGGTATTCTGTGAAGTCTACAATGAGCGGCTGAGTTTTCTCTGTTTCTCCCAACTTCCGGGTGTGACGTAGGTTATTGGTACGGCTGCATAGAGGTTGGCTCACAACACGGTTTTTGTTCTGTCTTCATTTGTTGTTATTCGAAGTTGTTTGAAGTCATTTTTGAAGTATTTAAGAAGATGAACTCCTCAGACTTTGAAAACAAGCATGTTGCTGAATCCGGACAAGTTCCGGGAGCCTTTGTAGACTTTCTACTGGCTGTGACCACAGTCAAGTTGGATGGAACTAATTATTTGGCTTGGTTACAATCAGTAAAAATTTATATTTGTAGTAGAGGCAAATGAGGTTTTATCTCCGAGAGCAAAAAGGCTCATCTGGAAGATGATCCATCATATGAAAAGTGGATGCAAGAAAATTATATTGTTATTGGATGGCTTGTGAACTCAATGCAACCACAGATTAGTCAACACTATTTGTGGATGAATTCAGTAAAGGAAATTTGGGATAGTGTTGCTGAAACATATTCCCAAAAATTAAATGTGGCCAGGGTTTACAAGTTGAAAAGTGATGTGAAGAATTTGAGACAGGGGGAGAAACCATTAGCTGTATACTTCTTAACACTGAAGTCTTTATGGCAAGAAATAGATTTGATAGAAGCTGTAGCCTAGGACACCACTAAGGATGCTGAGACCTACAAAAAGCTGGTTGAGAGAAACAAGGTGTTTGAGTTCTTGACAGGGTTAAATCCAAAGTACAACATTACAAAGCAAAATATTTTATCCAAGGATAGTGTCTCACTATCTCAAGCATATGCCTTGGTAAGTAGTGGAGAAAGCAGAAGACTTGTCCAGGTCCAAGGGGCTAGTCTAAATGATCACTTTGTTAACATGGGAGTGAAACCCAAGGGGGTTGCAGGGACTCCCAAGTAGCTCAAGGAAGAAAGAGATTATCTGTGAGTACTGTAAAAAGCCAAAACACACTAAAGACAAGTGCTAAAATTTGCATCCTAAGCTCCTACCACTTCGGTTTCAGAAGAAGTCTGATAATATAAAGGCAGGGAGTGCTAATGTTGCTGTTGGTCCAAATAGTGACAGATACCAAACTGAAGAGATGACGGCTAGTGAGTAGTTAGCAGCTATGAAAGCAAATTATGAGAAGTTTGGGAGGATGATCAGTCACCTAGAGGGTGTTACCTCTTCTTCCAACCCTCTAGGAAATTCAACTTCTTCTGCATTTGCTCATTCAGGTATACGGGCTTCTGCCAATCATACAACATTTTCAGGTAAAAGTAGGATCCCTTGGATTATTGATTCTGGTGCTTCTGATCATATGACCAGCTTTTCTACTTTGTTTGTTTCATATGATTTACTTCCTGGACGTGACAAAATCACCCTAGCCGATGGCTCTCTTGCCCCTATTTCCCGCAAAGGAACCATCAAGGCTACAGACTCCTTAGTTCTTCCTTTTGCTCTTCATGTCCCCAGACTAAATACAAACTTGTTATCTGTAAGTAGCCTAAGTCATTAACTGTTGTGTAACCTTCTTCCCTTCCTACTATGTTTTTCAGGATCTGGAGTCTCAGAAGGTGATTGGGAGTGGCCGTGAGGTGAATGGAATATATCTGCTGGATACTCCTGGACAGTGCCATGAACAACCTGGAAAAGCTGCTTTTGGGTCTACATCTACAGAGTCCATCAGTCGAGTCATGTTATGTCATTTTCGTTTGGGTCATCTTTCTTTTTCTACATTAAGTCATTTATTCCCAGAATTGTTTAAGGGAATTAGTTTGTCCAGTCTTCATTGTGAGTCTTGTGAACTGTCAAAACATTGTAGAAACAGTTATCCTCTGAGTAATAAAAGATGTTCTTCTCCTTTTAATATTGTGCAATCTGATGTATGGGGGCTTTACCACTTACCTTCTATGGGTGGCTACAAATATTTTATCTTGTTCATTGATGACTTTTCTCGATTCACTTGGATATTTTTGATGAAGTCCCGTGATGAAGTTCCCAGACTTGTGAGACAATTCCATGAATTTGTCCTAACCCAATTTGATACCAGAATTAAAATTTTCAGATTCGACAATGCAAAAGAATATTTTGAGAAAAACCTGACTTGCTATCTCACTGATTTAGGGGTTATTCATCAAAGCKCCTGTGTTAGGACCCCAGAACAGAATGGAGTTGCTGAAAGAAAAAATAGACATATTGTTGAAGTTACAAGAAGTATTCTATTTTGCCTCACATGCCCCTACAAAATTTTGGGGTGATGCTATTCTCACTGCTACCTACCTTATAAACCGTATGCCATCCAGGGTTTTAGGGTTTAAGTCTACCTTCAATCTTCTTCATCCGGACAAGGATATTTTTCCTATTCCTCGTGTCTTTGGCTGCACTTGTTATGTACATATCCCAAGTGTCCAGAGACATAAATTTGAACCAAAAGCCCACAAGTGTATCTTCCTTGGTTATTCCCCCACACAGAAGGGTTACTATTGTTTTGATCCGAAGACTGGCACTCAGTATGTCTCAATGGATGTCACCTTTGATGAGCTTTCTTCCTTTTATGGTTCTTCTCCGGAGAGACATTGTCCAAAGGGGGAGGATTTGTCACAGGTGTTGGCTCTTCCTCTTCCTGTCCCAGTTGAGTCTTTTGCTGAGTCTCTTCCTCCTTCAAATGAGTTAAGGGAGGATCAACCACTTCACTCTCATTCTAGTATTCCTATTCCTCCTCCTTTACCTCCTCACCCTCTTTTTAATCCCAGGTTGTACCAATGGCAGAGAACCAGAAATGAGCAGATTGTTTCCCCTCCAACACATGAGCCTCATGCTCTTCCAGTTACAGATGAGACAACAAGTACTGTTACAGCCCCTTTGGAGCCATCCTTCCCAGACCTTGATATCCCCATTGCTATTAAGAAAGGAAAAAGGAAATGTACTACACATTGCATTTCCAAACACCTTTCTTATAGTTTGCTCTCTCCTTCATATTTTGCCTACCTTTCTTTTGTTGCTTCTAACCCAATTCCTAGGTCCGTGTCAGAAGCTCTTACTATTCCAGAATGGAGGGATGCTATGAGAATCGAAATTGATGCCCTGCACACGAATGACACTTAAGAAGTGGTTGATTTGCCTGAAGGGAATGATCCAATAGGTTGTAAGTGGGTTTTACTATCAAATATCATGCTGATGGCACCATTGAAAAGTACAAGGCTAGGCTGGTTGCAAAAGGCTATACACAGACATATGGGATTGATTATCTAGAGCCCATGAATGCTAGTCACAATCTTTGTCCATAATTTATTCTTTTCCAATGGAAACCTCCACAACCATTTTCCCAACAAAGCCATATTTCTTTTCCTGACACCCCCTATCCCATGACCTCCTAACTTCTTACTCCTAGTCACCACTTTCCAACTCACTCTATGGTCCCTTTTTTCATCGCCTAGCTCCCACAAGAAGACCCTCATCAACTTTTCCAACCTATTGGATACCTTAGTGGGGATCTTAAACACAGACAAGAAATAAACAGGTAGATCAGCTAGGGTAGACCTAATCAAAGCTGTCCTCCCCCCCAAAAAGAAAGATAATTTTTCCTTCAAGAAGCAAGTCTTTTTTCGAATCTTTCCACCACCAGGTTCCAAAAGCTTTCTTCCTTAGGGTTATCTCCTAAGGGGAGGCCTAAATAAGTCAAAGGCCAATCCGAAACTTCACAATGGAAACCTCTCCATGTTTACCCCCACAATACAACTCTTATCAAAATTTACCTTGAGATTAGACATTTGCTCAAAGAGTTGTATTCTCAATTTTAAACTTCTAATCCAATTTATGTCCCTATCTTCACAAAAAAGGATAGAATCACCTGCAAATTGCAAGTGGGTGAGTGGAACTTCCTCCCTTCCTACTCTCTAGCCTCTCAATAAGTTCCTTGAATAAGCTCTTTGAATTAGTCTCCCAAGGACATTTGCAACCAGGGTGAACAAAAAAGGGGAGAGAGGGTCACCTTGCTTATCCCTCTCAAGGTAGGGAAGAAGTCAACCACAGTTCCATTAACCAAAATAGAATAATGGCAGCTTCTAACACAACCTCAAATCCATTTGCACCATTTGTTCTCGAAACCAAAACATCTCAACACCTTTAGCAAAAAAGACCAATCCACTAGGTCATAGGCCTTCTCTAGATCTAGTTTGCAAGCCACTCCCTTCTTTGATTTCCTAAAGCTCTCCAGACTCTCATTTGCAATCAGGATTTGATCAGTGATTTGTCTTCCTTCCACAAACACACCTTGGTTGGGTGCAATAATAGAAGGGAGAACTCTCTTAATCCTAAGGGATAGAACTTTTGCAATTATTTTATACAAACTGTTTTCTGTTTTCATCACCTTTTAATCAAGGTTTAAAATGTCGATGTCGATGGAAATGTCGCTTACCAAAATATAGGACATGTCGGAAATGTCGTGGGGAAATATTGTAAAAATTAGAAACATTGTGGAAATATTATGAAATATGTGGAAATATGCAAAGATATTTT